TTAGAGGGAACACTGCTTGCAATCCTCTTCCCTTCCTCACCCCGCAACAGACACCCTGTGAGGGAGGTGGGGCTGAGAACAGCTCTTTTGAGAACTGCTCTTCAGAGAACAGCTCTGAGGGAACTTGTGACTGACCCAAGGTCACCCAGCTGGCTCCATGCGAAAGAGTGGGGAATCAAACTCGATTCTCCCAGATTAGAGTCCGGTGCTCTCAACCACTACACCAAACAGAATTACTGAGAGCATCACCATCCCCCTTCCTTCCCAGAGCCTCTCTTGCCCTCACTCAGGGGGTGGCCAAAAAGAGCACGGCAGACTCACACCAGGAGCGGCCATCGCGCACGTCCATCTGCACAGCAAGCTTGGCCTGCTGCACACTATCCATGACGTTGTGCGCATGCTCGTCGGTGGAGTTCGTGCGCAGCTGCCGTAGCACCATGGAGAGATTCTGCAGGGACACCTTGTTTTTGCACTGCAGGAAAGGGGGCAGACGGGAGAGGACAGAATCAGGTTTGGCCGGCATTAGGACCCTCCATGACGAGATCCGTGCATTAGGCAAAATCTCAGCAGCACCACAAGCACGGCCCTGCCCACTTCCCAAAAAGTACTTTTTGGGGGAATAAAGAAAAAGAAGAGTTTGGGTTTATACCCCGTCCTTCACTCAGAGTCTCAGAGCATTTTACACTCTCCTTCTCTTCCTCTCCCCACAACAGACACCCTGGGAGGTAGGTGGGGCTGAAAGAGCTCTGAGAGAACTGCTCCTGAGAGAACACCTCTCAGAGAACTGTGACTGGCCCAAGGTCACCCAGCTGGTTGCACATGGAGGAGTGGGGAATCAAACCCAGTTCTCCCAGATTAGAGTCCACACACTCCTGACCACTACGCCAAAGTGGTTAAAGTGCAGTGGCATCTGTCTGATCTCTTACCGACTGAAATTACCGTTCGAAAAATTTAGGAGTAATTTCAGACAGCCATTCAAACCGAAACCCCACCACCCTTCTTCCCAGAGGGAGGAACTGCGGGAGACGTACGTGGCTCAGGGCTCCAGAGAAGCAGGTATGGGCCGCAGAAATGTCACCCTTCTTCCAGTAAACTTCCCCTAACTGATTCCAGGCCTCGACCAGTTCTGGGTCCAACTTGACCGCTTTGGAGAGCAGCTCTTCAGCTTGGGCACTATAATCCGGAGACACGTTCAGAGCTTTCCCCTTCAGCATCAGTATGTGGGCTTGTCCCTGGGGCAGGCCTGGCAGAGGGAGGGAAAGAAGCCATCTTTGCACTCGAGCTCAATGAACTCCACCCACCAGAGCACAGCAGGGCCTTCTTTACAGGCAGTAAAGGTAAAGGTTCCCTTGCTCGAAAGCCAGTCGAATCCGACTCTAGGGTTGCGGTGCTCATCTCCGTTTCAAAGCCGAAGAGCCAGCGCTGTCCAAAGATGTTTCCGTGGTCATATGGCCGGCATGACTAAACACCAAGGCGCACGGAACGCTGTGACCTTCCCACCGAAGGGGTACCTATTTATCGAAAGAGAAGAATGAAGTATTTTAAGCATGTGGAGAGTCATTGCAAGGGTGAACAGCACAGCAGTGGAGGAGCTGGTGGCTCAGCAGGAGAGCACCCGCTTGGCACACAGAAGGTCCCAGGTTCGATCGTCTTAACCACTTGAGCCACCGCAGCTCCTATTTAAAGGCATTCGGAAATTGTAGTTCACACACACAGCCCATGCCCCCCACAACACATTCAAGCATTTCCCTTGTGTGTGCTCACGTGTTTAGCTGATGGTATTTAGCAGCCAAGTGGCAGAAAATCCCTCAGAACTGGGAATCTGCAAGCAGTAATGCAGAGGAGTCGTGCACAACAGCCACCATAGACTCCAGAACTTTATTTGGAGTAACGGAGGTTTAAAAAACAAGAATAAGAGATAAAAGCACAGGTGCCCAAGCACCCAGATGGCAAAGCGGGCCTCACCTCAGACCCCTCTTGGTACAGAGACTACGTTAGACCTTGCTGAAACAATCAGGGAAGCCCGCTCTTAACAAACAAGTAAATCCTCTCACCGTGTATTCCACAAAACACAAGAAAGAGAAGAATGAAGTATTTTAAGCATGTGGAGAGTCATTGCAAGGGGGAACAGCACGGCAGTGGAGGAGCTGTGGCTCAGTAGGAGAGCCCCCGCTTGGCACGCAGAAGGTCCCAGGTTCGATCCCCGGCACCTTCAGTTAAAACAGCAGGCGGTAGGTGATGAGGAAGACCTCTCCCTAAGACCCCGTGAAGCCACTGCCAATCTGAGTAGACAGTAGTACTAACTCTGGTGGGCCAATGGTCTGATTCAGTACAGGGCAGCTTCAGGTGTTCAGGTGTGAGTCTGCAGGGAATGTTTTTGGTGGGGAGATTGGAACGGGCCTGCTCGGCTGGGGCCCGGAGAGTTAACAGGAGCAGGGAATCTTCAGGTCACTTTTCACATCGCTGTTGGTCACGCCGTACATCATCAAACATAACACGACCTTTGCCCAACTTGAATTGTTGAACTACATCAACATTTGGAACGGCACGTTTTGGGTCTCTGTGCACAATTTTTTTTCCTTTTAAAAAAGCCCTGTCACACAGGAAGTTCAATGTCTGGAAGTGCCCAATATTAACCCCACGGTTTGCTTTAACTGAGAGCAAAGAAAGACCCATACTGGATGGTTCAGAGACAGCCGTGGAACAAATGGTAGCTATGTGAGGTTAAGATCTTCCCTGGAACAGCACGGCAGTGGAGGAGCTGTGGCTCAGTAGGAGAGCCCCCGCTTGGCACGCAGAAGGTCCCAGGTTCGATCCCCGGCACCTTCAGTTAAAACAGCAGGCGGTAGGTGATGAGGAAGACCTCTCCCTAAGACCCCGTGAAGCCACTGCCAATCTGAGTAGACAGTAGTACTAACTCCGGTGGGCCAATGGTCTGATTCAGTATGAGGCAGCTTCAGGTGTTCAGGTGTGAGTCTGCAGGGAATGTCTTTGGTGGGGAGATTGGAACGGGCCTGCTCGGCTGGGGCCCGGAGAGTTAACAGGAGCAGGGTTTGACTGGAAAACTATTTACAATGCGAAGTATAAGTTGTTGCTATTGGGTTAATGTTTCTATGACCTTTATGGCTTTGTTCCGTGGAACCTCTCTTTGATTGTGTATTTGATTGCATTGGTAGGATAAGTGGATTTCTGTAACTCTTGCTGTTTGTTGTTACACTTTATGGTTGAATACGAATAAAATGTTCTGGTTAAAAAAAAAAAAGATCTTCCCTTCTTGTTGGAAATTTGCTGTAAATTGTTTATATTTTATTGTAATTTATTGTTTTTAAACTATATGTTATTGTTTTAACTCGGCACTTTGTGCCCCTGTTAGCCGCCCTGAGCCTTCGGGGTAGGGCGGGATATAAATGTAAATATAAATAAATAAATAAATGTAGGCAAAGCGAGAGAGAAAAAGGCTGGACGGCACGTAAAAAGGGAGCTTAAAGCTTTCACGGGGATTACCTTCGATTGCTTCCATCGCCTTCAGGGTCTTCTCCATCTCCTCCCGTACATCCTGCTGCTTTTTCCCAGCATCCTCTACACTGTGGCTCTCAAAGTAATGGTCCCGGAAATGGTACAGCTGGTCAACTAGCTCCTGTCAGAAAGTTGCCCAAACAAGAGGTGTTACCGTTAGAGGAGTCCAGATGCTGATATCTTGCCTAACCCAGACCTGGATGGTCCGAGGTAGCCCATTCTCATGAGATCTTAGAAGCTACGGAGGTTCAGCCCTGGTGAACCTTGGATGGGAGACCACCAAGGAAGTGCAGAGCTGCTATGAAGAGGCAAGCAAGGGCAAACCACCGGTTTGGGTCTTGCCTTGACAACCCTACAGGGTTGCTTTAAGTTGGCTGCAACTTTTCAGCCGTTTCCACCATCGATATCTTACCTAGTCTACCCTTTACAGACGTTAATGCCTTCAAGCAGGGCTATTTTTGGGCAGGAACGCACAGGACTCCACAGCTTAGACGGAGCATTGCTCCCTAGCAATGTTCCCTCTAAGCTGTGGAGTCTTGTGAGCAAAAATTCTACTTTATGAGCTGCTGGCATTAAAGTTGTGAGCGAGCAATTTGGCCGCTGCATAAATCAGTTTGCTCTGGAGCCCTCCTTCCTGAGCGAAGACAAAAATGTGTGAGCTGGAGGCTAAAAAACTGTGAGCTAGCTCACACCAACTCAGCTTAGAGGGAACACTGCTCCCTAGTTCTCGGTGAGCGGAGAGACAAGGGGCCGCGTTTCCAGGAGTCGTCAGGGGCGGGGACCTCCTTCGCCCCACAAATGCCCCAGCCAGCCCCTCGGCTCCTGCACTGTTCCCCCACACCGCCCTCCTCCATCGCCTGCGGTACTGTGATCCAGCAAAGCAAACACGCACTGAGCAAGGCAGGGAGCGGGAGGAAGGGGCTGCCTCCTGCCAAACCCGCTCCTCTCCCCGATGTTTCAATTACGCCTGTCCGTGTGAACCCCGAAACCACCAGCCCGGAACAAAAACAAGCCCGGCTTGCAGCAGTTTCTCGTTGCGGTGAACTTCCGATGGCGAGAAACTTTCGCTCGCTCGCTCGCTCGCTCGCTCGCCCTACCTGTAGGCTCCGCCGAGCCTGCGGGTTATCTTCTTCTTCCTCGGCCATGATTCTTCCCGACCCTCCTCCTCGGCCTGAGATTCCCTTCCTGGCAGCCACAGAGACCGAAAGCACCTACGAGGACACCTGAAGGGCAGGAGGACACACTGCACTTCGGAGGAGAGATGGAGGCAAAGGATGCTCGTTTCCCCCACTTTCCATGGCCTTTATAAAGCAGTGTTCTAACACAACAGGAAAGACAGAGTACATGTTATAAAGAGACTTTAAGGAGTCCTCCCTTTTGAAACTCTGATTTAACAGGGGAGGACTATTATTAATTCTAAGGTTGTACAAGAGCTTTTGAGATTCTTGGAGATGATATTTGATATTTTTGATATATCTCTTACATTGTGAATTGTGATTAAGAGGATTAGTTATATATGTAGAAATTATTGTAAAAATGTTTTTCAAAAAAATATAAAATTATTTATGATAATGTTGTAATCATCTGTGCACGGTACTTGTTGTATGTTGGTTTTCCTACTTACTGTGGGTCCTTGTTTGGTTTTGCAAAACAAACACAAACAAGTTTATTTTTATTGATTTATTTATTTTTGAGATTTCTATGCCGCCCTACCCAATGGCTCAGGGCGGCTAACAACAAGTTTTAAAATTAAGTGCAATAAAAAAGTTGGTTGCCTCTGTAAAGGAAAAGCATATACAGCAGAGGTCCTTCAGTAGCTATTAGGCACAAGGACAACCTTCAGTAGGTATTAGGCACAAGGTATAGTCATGCCGGCCACATGACCACGGAAACGTCTTCGGACAGCGCTGGCTCTTCGGCTTTGAAACGGAGATGAGCACCGCAACCCTAGAGTCGGATTCGACTGGCTTTTAAGCAAGGGAACCTTTACCTTTTTATAGACAGGAACTCTCAGGCTGGGCTGTATTCTTGGAGGGGGGGAACAGTGGGAGGGCTTCTAGTGTTCTGGCCCCACTGCTGGACCTCCTGATGGCACCTGGTGTTTTTGGCCACTGTGTGACAGAGTGTTGGACTGGATGGGCCATTGGCCTGATCCAACATTGGCTTCTCTTATGTTCTTATGGCACAGAGGTGATGTGAACTAGTCTCCCAGATCTTTGTCTGAAGCTGTAATCACTATACCACACTGGCTTTTGTGGAGTGGCTGCTGTTGAACAGAAGTAGTTAATTCTGGGTGAGTCATGTAAGTGGCATGATATCAGGTCAGCCAGTGATTGCTGCCTGCCTAATGTGTTCTCCTTCAAAGGGCCTCCCCCCTCCCTTTTACTGACAGATACCCAGGCTTGAAGGCTGGCAATACTGTTGTGGTTGCCTAGCAACTCTACAATGGCCACTGAGAGGGTATTTGTTTCTTAAATCAACATGAACTACTATTATTTGGGGTGTTTTTAACCCCCTAATGTATTTTTTCAACTTCAGTCTTTCTTGTCTGTTCATGGTTACAATCACTATACTTAAGTATCCATAGATTTGGCCATATTTAGAATTAGATATATTGATTTTGTTACTCTCTCCATGGCAAAATTTATCGGTGGCAATAATTAAACTACAAGAATAACACTAAGTAAGGCATTATTTTATAATTTTATTTTCTGCTCAAGGCTACCACTATATGAGCAGTACTAGATAGATAGATGGGGCTGCAGTGGCTCAGCGGTACAGACGCTGAACTGCTGATCAGAAGGTCGGTAGTTCGGCAGTTTGAGACCCGAGTGCCACATGATGGAGTGAGCTCCCATCTATGGCCCCAGCTCCTGCCAACCTAGCAGTTCGAAAGCAAGAAATTGCAAGTAGATAAATAGGTACCGCTTTGGTGGGAAGGTAACACCGTTCCGTGGACCTCGGCATCTAGTCATGCTGGCCACATGACCACGGAAACGTCTTCAGACAGCACTGGCTCTTCAGCTTGGAAACAGAGATGAGCACCTGTACACAGTATTCCTGTGTACAGTATAACTGTACACAGTATTCCAAATGAGGTTGTACCATTGATATCTACAGGAGCATTATGATACTGGCTGGTTTGTTTTCAATTCCCTTCCTAATAATCCCTAGCATAGTGTTGGCCTTTTTTATTGCAGCTGCACACTGTCTAGACATTTTCATTGAGTTATCTAATATCTACTACGACTCCAAGATCTCTCTCTTGGTCAGTCTCTGCCAATTCGGACCCCATCAACGTGTATTTATAGTTAGGATTTTTGGCTCCAATGTGCATCACTTTGCGCACACACACACCCATTTGCCACGTTGACGCCCACTCGCCCATCCTCGACAGATCCCTTTGGAGTGCCTCACAATCCTCCCTGGTTCTCACCACCCTGAACAACTTTGTGTCATCTGCAAATTTAGCCACTTCACTGCTTACTCCCAACTCCAAATCATTAATAAACAAGTGAAAAAGCATCGGACCGCGTACTGATCCCTGTGGTACCCCAATGCTTACCACCCTCCGCTGAGAAAATTTCCCATTTATACTCACTCTCTGTTTCCTATTAATTAGCCAGTGTGCCTACTAATTCTTTCCTTAAAGTTATATATATATATATAATTCTTTCCTTAAAGCTCACTGGGCATCCTCAGGCCGTTCACATTCTCAGCCTAACTTACCCCATAGGGTTTTTGTGAGGATAAAATGGGAAAGAGAATAATGTAGGGTGGATGTAAGTAACCCCCGTAACCTTACCTTTCCATGCATCTTTCTCTCCTTCCCACCTACCAATCAACCTTCCTTTTATCTGCCCATCTTCAGCTATATTTATTCATTTTACCCACATTTCTCCACAATGGGAGAGAATTAGATATACTGATACATAAATATATACTGCAAAATTAAAGGACGAGAATTATAATTTCATTCACCATAGTAAATGGGGTTCAAAGATTAATTAAATGAACAGTCAGCATGGGGTGGTGGAATGTTTAAAAGTAGCATCTGTAGCAAGAGGAGTCTTAGTGAGAGAACTGAACAGTTGGCATTGGAAACAATAGCAAAGGTGCTGTGCTTTAACAATACGTTCCCTATTGTTAACACTCAGTCATAGAATGCTATCTCCCCAAATGAGCCTAAATTCTCTTCTCTCCAGTGGCAAACCCCTGCCCAAGGAAATGTACGCTAGAGTTCTACAGGTTGCTTCAACAGCAGCATTTATTTATTTGAAATATTTGAGTTCTTCACAAAGCACTCAATGGATTTCTGTCCTTAAATTGCATGTAGGTACAGCTGTGTGTGTGTGTGTGTGGGGAATTATTTGCCCTTCGGTTGACTTTGATTTTTGTGCGTACAGTCCCTTGGGCATGTACCGCTGTATTCTAGTTCTTGCTGCTGGGCTATATTTTGATTTGAAATATAGGCCACTTTGCAAGCCAATCTACCTGAAAAATGGGATGTGAATATAACAGATACAGCAGAAAAATAACTTAAATGGAAGAGCTGACAAAATATAGCCCAGTAGCAAGAACTAGAATACAGCGGTACACGCCCAAGGAAATGTACGCACAAAAATCAAAGTCAACCGAAGGGCAAATAAAAACATTTTTCCCCACACAGCTGTACCTACAAGTGCTAAGCAAAACAATGCAATCTTGAGAACATATTTGTGCACATAATCAGAGGGAAACATCCCCATGATATGCATCAGAGGGAGTTCAAAGCAACAATCAAAATGAAATGAAATATTACAGCGCACTACAGGTACAACCATTATGTGCTGTATAACAACTGGAGATATAACAGGGTAAAACAACCTGATACTTGATTCTTAACACATTTCAGTTTTAAGTAAAATGAGATTAAGATCATAGCCAGAGCGAGAAGGGGAAGGTGATGTTGGTGTGTGTGTGGGGAGAGAGAAAGAGGGGTGACATGAAAAGAACTTGGTTGCAACGGAATATTCATTCTTTCAGTCCTCCTTGCAGAACCCCTTGCTTTGAGGTTTTCTATGGTGGAATCTGGGGAGTTACAGTTTGGCAGCCACTGGATGTCTCCCAGGTCTGGACTGTCGATTCTTGTGAAACTCTCAACTCTATAAAAAGAGTCTCTGCCCATTGTCTCAAAGTCTTCAGAAAGGTCAGTATAAATTCTAGACTACATTCTCTTTATTTTATAGGCTCTGTTGCCTCCTGGGCACTGGGTCAGATCATTGCCGGGTGAAGTGAAGGAAAAGAAGCAGTTGCCAGAATCTCCCATTGGGGGAGAAGAAGCAAAGAAGGTTTTGAAATGGAAGTCCCCTTCGCCACGCTGGCCCTGGTGAGGTGTTGTATCCCCAGAGAACCTGGCAGCATTTCCTAGGACATGCGAGAGAGAGACATATTAGTTGGGGGGGGGGGGAGAGAATTAAGCTGCAATCCTACACACACGTTTCTGCTTTAGGATAGATCCCTTGATCTATAAGGCATTATTAGCTACACTAATATGTTAACCCACATAATATTATGCATCTAAAAGTATGCCCCTATGTGTTTTGGGGTTTTTTTACATATCAGCTAGAGGGAGTCATCCAGGGCTAAGGCAGAGGTTTCTGCAAACCTGAGCAAACCCCCAATTTTTCAGGAAAATACAACTTTTTAATCTTTAGGGACTAAAAGCCACCCAAATAGTAACAGTACCATCTGCACACGCAGAGAGGTCATTTTTAAACATTGCATTGTGTGGCAACACGAACCAGTGCTCACCAACTCTGCAAAGGAAAGAGGCAAATGACAGGGAACAGAAGTGGGAAAAGAAAAGGGATGGAGACACCACATTTGCTGCAGTGGGGGGAAGCCAATGAGGGGGTGGGTGAGAGTGGCAGGAGAGAGAAAAGACTGGGCAGGGTAGCTGGACCAGGGGGCAAGAAAGAAGAAATATTAGGTGAGGGGGCATGGAAGGACAGGGAGAGAAGAAGCAGAGATAGATCGAAAGGAGGGACTCAGACTCCACTGTGTGGAAAAGCTCATTACATTTTAGCATTACACCTTGTGCGAGAACATTTCAGCCCCCAAACTGTAAAGCCACCATCCTTACCCAAAGGGAAACCAAAGACGGCTGGCTGAGGCATCATAGGGGGCTCATGAGCTGCCTCCTGACTGGCTACAGCAATGTTACGTAAGCGTAGACTGTCATAGAGGCCCTGAAGTTTCTGGTATTGACGGTTGCGCTCCATGAGTTTCTCGGAAAGTTCTGTGAATTTCTTTTTGTATTCCTCCAGCACTTTCTTCAGGGAGGAAACCTCACTCTTCATGGACGTCAGCTCCACATCCTTGCTTTGGAGTTGCTGGGTGTAAACTTTTTCCATCTGTTTCAGGTGTCCCTCAGCCTTGCTGTAGGTGTATTCTTGGTACAGCCTTTCCTGGTGAACCTGCAAAGACAGGAGCAAAAACAGGAACCATAACGGTGTTCTTAAATTTTTTGATTCAGTCTACAGTGAAACAGTTTGGGGGAGAGATCAGAAAACCTCCTTCATTTTGCCTGTCCTGAAACTACCACCAACATTATGTGGGATCACAGTCTGCTCCATGACATCAATCCAGCTGTTTACGCAGGAACCAATTATTTCTGCTTTTCTTCTTTTTAAAAGTATGTAACTAGGGTTGCTAGGTCTGGGCTGGAAAATACCTGGAGACTTTGGGGGTGGATCTAGGAGAGGGCAGGGTTTGGAGAGGGGAGGGGCCTCAGCATGGTACGATGCCACAGAGTCCACCCTTCTAAGCAGCCATTTTCTCCAGGGGAGCTGATCTCTGTCAGCTGGGGATCAGTTGTAAAAGCGGGAGATCTCCAGGCCCCACCTGGAGGCTGGCAACCCTATATGTAACAGTTGAACAGCTATTACCTGTTCTTAGTTTCACTATGAGAACATAAGAAGAGCCCTGCTGGATCAGACCAATGGTCCGTCAAGTCCAGGATCCTGTGTTCCACACAGCTCTGGAGGATCAACAAGCCAGGCATAGAAGCCAGGGCCTTCCTTTGATGTTGCCTCCTCACTCTGGTAGGTTCGCTACCTCTGGATCTGGAGGATCCCTTTAATCATGGCTGGTACCAGCAGTGAATTCCAGAATTTAATGCCACCTTTCTCCCCATCTCTTACTGATTTGTTCACAGTAAACATGTAGATTTAAAATTTTCCTACATCTGAAGCCATGAGAATAGATGAAAGTTTTAAGAATTGCAGTAAAATCTGCTGTAGAGCCTAGGAAGAAAATTCTGGTTTCCAGTGGTCCAGACTGAGATATCAAGATATTAGTCTGGGTTTGGGGAAATTAAATTCTTGCTACAGTATGTAAATTTGGATTTTGTGTGACAAAAATAAATATTCCCCCAGTTTATTCTCCAAACAGGACTTTGATTATGTGCTTGTAGGATTTCATAGAACAGAATGCGAGATGACTAACTATAATGGGTTGGATTCAAAGGCATATTTCTGCACGTAGGCCTCTTCTGCTCACCAAAGAGCTAGATCAAGATGGGTAGCCCTGTTCGTCTGTCTGTAGCCGCACAAAAGTGCAAGAGTCCAGTAGCACCTTAAAGACTAACAAAATTTGTGGCAGCGGATGTGCTTTTGTGAGTCACTGCTCACTTCACCAAAGAGCTATTCTATTTCTTACTCTACAGCACTATGTGATAAAACTGCAACCTAATCTAAAGTTAAGAAAGAGCCTCATGGCACCTTAAAAGCTAACAGAATTGTGGCATATTTACCCAACTCCAATGTATAAGAAATGTTTTAAAGTAAAGGTAAAGGTTCCCTTGCTCGAAAGCCAGTCGAATCCGACTCTAGGGTTGCGGTGCTCATCTCCGTTTCCAAGCCGAAGAGCCAGCGCTGTCCAAAGATGTTTTCATGGTCATGTGACTGGCATGACTAAACACCAAGGCGCACGGAACGCTGTTACCTTCCCACCAAAGTGGTACCTATTGATCTCCTTGCAATGTCTTGCTTTCGAACTGCTAGGTTGGCAGGAGCTGGAACTAGAGACGGGAGCTCACTCCGTCTTGCGGCACCCGGGTCTCAAACTACTGACCTTCCACAGCCTGCAGTTCAGCGTCTTAACCACTTGAGCCACCACAGCTCCAAGAAATGTTTACAGACACAGATATAGATACTCGGTTGGATTTAACCAGCTTTTCTGGTAGTGAATAAAGGAGGCATACCCTTTAACCACCCAAAAAGGCTATACTGTAGATCATGAGACCTTCATGTACAAAAGCCATGTGATACTGAGGCTGTAGTAAGGAGAACTAGGCAAGACTGAGGACCAAACTAGACATGACAGCAGTCCACAGGTCTGACCGTGCTCTCACATCTACTTTGGCCCTGAATGAAAAGGCTGGCTGGATCCAACTCATTGTTTCTTAAGCTACTTCACTACTGTAGTTTACAAATGCTGATGTAGTAAATCTGTTGGTTTTTAAAATACCACAAGACTCCTTTTTGTTTGTGCTTCAAAAGACACAATTGCCCCTCTGGAACTTAATTCCAAAGGTGTTTTTTTTTTCCTGCTTGCACAATAACATGCACAATTTCTGTGCAAACAGAACGCATGAAAACAGCCACACCTACCTATCTTAGCGGCATGTAAATGCACACATAAACGCTTGTGCAAACATTTGCAAAACAGCTCTAGCAGCTATTTTCCTTCCAATCACAGTTCTTTGGAGCCAACCCACACGCCCGAGGAGAAAGAATCAGTCAGTAAACGACGATGTTGTGCATAACACACTGGGTCTTTTTTCTCAGATAAACTTTAGTGCATACCAGAGATTTCTCTGAGAAACTCCAATCAATTATTCTAAGAACAGTCATAATATTTGGCTCTTCAGCTTTAAGTCTTTGTGCCAGCTTTACGAACAGTACCACATGTGCACACTCAATATATGCTAATCCTCCAATTACTTTGAAAATACATTCTTTTCCATGTATCAGAATACCAGTTTTGGACATTCATTCAAGGTGACTTTACCTGGTACGTCCAGAAGGCCAGGGCCCTAGAGCTGATGTCTAGAATAATCTCTGGACGCAGTCCAGCGAGGACCATCGCTTTATATTCTTCAGAAGGATTGAGTTCTGTCCGAACGATATCTAACTTGCCAGAAAGGGCACTGTTGCAAGCAGGGCAGACTGCTGGTGAACGGCTGAACTCCCCACTGCCATGCTGGTCACAGAAGATATGTGAGCAGGCTGTGACCCACGCATAGCCCGAAAGCTTGACTCTGCATTTGCGGTAATTGCAAAGAAGCATATCCTCACAGACAGACATGTTGGTGGGTCAATGAAAAAGATGTACAAGTGCTTCTTATGGGATACGAATCTATGATTAACCATGCACCTAAGGAATGAAACATATATATTAATGCCGAGGTTTGCAAATTTGTTTTTAGGATTTTGATATGGGAGGGAACACACACACACACACACAAAGAATCCAGGAGATCTGAGTTCTATTGTGTTCCTGCTGTGGCTTGGTTTATTTATTTCGTCAGAGTACAATCTCCAAAATGAGAAAAAACAGCAATTTACCTCAAAGTGACAGGATTAATTTGAAAGTGACTGTAAGAAATACTGTCAAGTGTTTGGCAAGTTAAAAATATTATCTATGTAACTACCACACACCAAGTGCAAACCAACATCAACATGGTGTAGTGGTGAGAGTGTTGGACCAAGATCAGTGAATTTCAGGCTCAAATGCCCACTCTGCTCTTTGTTTTTTAAATTCCTAGTCCGCCCTTCCCTGCACGGCAGGGCTCAGGGTGTGTTACAATAGTAAATAAATAATAAATTTTAAACAAAACATAATCTACACAGGATTAATATGCATACAGCATCGACTATGATATTCACTGGGTGACAATGAGCTAGTCACACTCTCTGCCTAACCTAGCTCAGGACTCTTACAAGAAAAAAATAGGAAAGGAAGATAAACACACTACCTTCAGCCTCTTTATGCGGACCTGTCTGTAAAAGCTACACAAAGCCACAAGAGGCACAAAGAACAAAGGAGGGGTGTTTTATGTCAAGCCGCAGAAATTAAGGTTTGGCTCTGGTAAATAGGGATAGGTGGAATGTATTTACACATTAGCACAGTCATGTAACCCTCATTTTGTACAAACATTAAGCGGTGCTTAAGTAGGGTTGCCAACACACGGGCAACACGGCAAGGTTGAACAAACGTGGGGGGAAAAACACCATGTTAAAACAAAACACACAATACTGATATGCCACTATATCTTCATATATTCGTTTAAGTCATAAATATACAATAAAGACCCTAGTGTACCTTATTAATTATAGTACATTGATAACAAAAACCTAAAGAACAATATATATCTTGTAGAAAAGTCCACAGCTACTGAGAGAACCAGAGAAGCCTTCTACAAAGCTGTTTGACTTGAGCATTGTAGCATTGTGAGCTTTGGTTCCATGAAAAATAATTTGCCTGAAGAAGAGTTTCTTGAAACATGCAATTTTTGCCTGGGAGGCGTGTTGCTTTGACGCTTGCTGTATCTCTTTTCGGAAAGCAAAACAGCCTACAACACTGGCACTGACAACTGCTGCATCTCTCATCAGAAAGCAAGATAGTCTATTGAATCCCGTCTGTATGTTTGTCTCAGTAGCTGTGGACTTTTCTACAAGATAGATATTGTTCTTTAGACTTTTGTTATCAATGTACTATAATTAATAAGATACATTAGGGTCCTTATTGTATATTTAAGTATATGGTTTAAACGAATATATGAAGACAGAGTAGCATATCAGTATTGCGTGTTTTGTTCTAACACGGTGTTTTTCCACATTTGTTCAGCCTCCAGGTGGAACCTGAAGATCTTCCAAAATTAAAACTGATCTCCAGACTACAGTTGCCCTGGAGAAATGGCTGTTTTGGCAGAGGGGCTGCACGGCATCCCAAATCCCACCTTCCCCCAGCTCTCCAGGAATTTGCCAACCTGGCGCTGCTGGCACCCCTGTGCTTAAAAGAACAACAAGGGTAGATCTTCCCTTCCCATCATTCATTGCACAGCCATAGTTAACCTCTAGCATTAAAAAAAGAGCAAGAGTCCAGTAACACCTTAAAGACTGAACAAAATTTGTGGCAGGGTAGGAGTCAATCCTAAAAGAAATCAACCCTGACTGTTCCCTGGAAGGCCAGATAATGAAACTGAAGCTCAAATCCTTTGGCCACCCAATGAGAAGGGAGCCCTCACTGGAGTTGAGCCAACTTCGGGGGACGGCGGAAGACCGGAAGGCCTGGCGTGATCTGGTCCATGGGGTAGCGAAGAGTCGGACTGAAGTGAGCAGTGCCTCACGGAAAACGACAAAGTTTGTTAGTCTGTAAGGTTCTACTGGACTCTCTGTCTCTTTTTTCCTGCTACAGACAAACGCTGCCTCCCATCTTGATCTATCTAGCACTAAAAGCGTGCTAGAATATGGACACACATTATTTCAACTTAAATTCCTTTATCAGAGGCATACATTGCATTAGTGCCGCTCTTCTGAGAAACTGCCAAGTCAGGGATGAGGAAAAGGTTCACCTGTTTGCACTTCGGCCACTCACCCCTGTTAGAAGCCCCTCAAACGGGCCCTCACTGTATATTACAAACAATTATTCTCATTTATCCTGCACTTTTATTTGTCTGGAAGCAGTCTGTTCCTGCATAACAAATTAATATTTATATCAATATGTGGGCTTATGCGGAAGAAAAGCTGGAATGTAAAGGGGGGGGGTTATAACGCGTATGTTTTCCCCTTCACATATTGCTTTTTAAAAAATATGCTAGGGGGAAAAAAGGTGTCAAGACAAGGCGGGAATTGGGAAAGTGGCAAGATGTTGAGGGGGGGGGCGTTGCTCACGCTTCCCGCCAAATCCAACCCTCCCCCGGTTTAGCTAACGGTCGGCATTTCAAAGTTTCCCGCGCTTTCCCCTCCCAACGCTTCACCTGAGGCGCTCAGAAAATGTAACGGGGGAGGGAGAGAGGAGAGCGCTCGGGCCGTACCATTGGTTGAAAGGAAACAGGGTTCAACGATCGAGGAAGTAAATCGCTGCGTTAACTCTTCCCCCCCCCCTCCCCCGGTGTTGAGGATCAGTTTTCCTCACGCTGCCTCCTCACCCCACCGATGAAATATTGCCCGTCCATTAGCACGCAACGAAAACGGCATGTTGCAAAGTCAACGCAAAAATGGTATGGCCCAAAGTGACACGTGAGTCCCGGAGAACGAAGTCGGAGTCCGGGCGGCGGCACCTTGAAGACCAATACAGTTTAATTCTGGGTATCAGCTTTCCTGCGCATGCGCACTTCCTGCCCACGAAAGCTGATACCCAGAATTAAATGTTGTTTGTCTAAAAGGTGCAACCCACTGGCGTCAAACTTTGTTCTGTTGCTGCAGGCCAACACGGCATCCCCACCTGGATCGATTTGAACCCAGTGCGAGTGTTTTGCTTGCTGTAAGAAACTGTCGATGCACTAAAGCCGCACTTGCAACAACTGGTGCTCAATTCTACCTAAATTCAAAACATTAAAAATTATGGACCTCCCAGTAAAATGCAACCTTACAAATTGAACATAACGTTTGTCTAAAAGGTGCCACCCACTGGCGTCAAACTTTGTTCTGTTGCTTCAGGCCAACACCGCATCCCCATCTGAATCTATTTGAACCCAGTGCGAGTGTTTTGCTTGCTGTAAGAAACTGTCGATGCATGAAAGCAGCACTTGCAACAATTGATGCTCAATTCTACCTAAATTCAAAACATTAAAAATTATGGACCTCCCAGTAAAATACAACCTTACAAATTGAACATAACTCTTCTTCTGGCTGGATATTAACAAAAAAACTTAACAAAACAAAACTGTAATGTATCCATCCCAGAGACCACCTGCCTGGCCAATTCACCACGAGGTCATGTGAAGCCGTTGAGCTTCGCTCTCAGTAACAATGGGACAAGCGGATCCTTTGTTGTTGTCGTTCAGTCGCACAGTCGAGTCCGACTCTTTGCGACCCCATGGACCAAATCACGCCAGGCCTTCCGGTCTTCCGCCATCTTCTGAAGTTTGCTCAACTTCATGTTCGTTGCATCCATGACACTGTCTAACCATCTCATCCTTTGCCGTCCCCGTCTTCTAGCGGATCCTAGCCGGCACCTATCGGCAGGCTAGGCTCCCGGCTGGGAGCCTATGGAACTCTCGGCCACTGTAAATAGCCAATCACTTGTGTGTGGGTGTGTTTGGGGTGCGGGGTTCAATTCCAGTTACTTTCATCAGAATAGATGTTATCCCCTAATCCCAGTTAGGTAGAAGTCTATGGTTATAGTGTAGTGAGGGGAAAACATTCTGCCTACATGCAGAACGCTTGCAGTGTTTGCATTCAAATAACTTATTCTTGGCATAGATTTAGTTAGAGCCTTCCAGACCACACTTGATTGTAGTGAGAGGTGATGGAAAAGTGCCTGGGTACACTGCTTTCTTAGGCCTTCTGTAGTAAAGTGCTTATTTTCCTATAATAACTCTCAAAGTTCCGCAGGGCCTATAAAACAGAGCTCTTCCGCCAGGCTTTTGGAGCTGCCACCACTAACACCTATGCCGGCAGAACCCTGGCCTGCTGGCCCCCTTAATATTGCCCGAGCCAATCACCCTAGATAGCCGCAGAAGGCTGAAGACTTAACCCGGAACGAGGAATGTACTAGCACTTTACTATGCTATTACATTTGTGTTTTAATATTGCATTTATGAAATTATGGTTTTATGTGACTGTATTGAGATTTTATTCTGTTGTGAGCCATCCTGTGCCGGGATAAGAATCGGACAAAATAATAACAGGTTTCAGAGTTTAAACCTTCCAGTGCATTATGGTTAATCAGTCCAGCCAGCATGGGGTAGTGGTTAAGGGCAGCCTCTAATCTGGAGAACTGGGTTTGATTCCCCACTCCTCCACGTGCAGCCAAGCTGGGTGACCTTGGGTCAGTCACAGCTCTGAGTTTCTTCCTTCAGTGCAAATCCCAGATTTTGGGTCAGATACGGAAAGGGACTCAACAGTGATTGTTCACTAATGAGCAAATAGCACTCAGCACTTGCCCAGAGACATTACTCCAGCAAGTTACAGCAAAGTAACTTGCAATTAACTATTAAAACCAGACCTCAGACGGAGTGAAACTGGAGATTAATTCTTCTGGTCCTGCCGCATGGCCTTATCTACTCCAGACAAATTTTCCATTGCAGGAGGAGGCAACCCCAAATCGTATAAAACCACATCCCAGCATTCTTTCTGCCCAATGTTCCCACTTCAGACATTTAAAAAGGAGAGGAACCAATATTGAGAACAAATGGATTTGGGGAGAAAATTAGGTGGGACAGGGCAAAGGAGAATTTGGTCAGGAAGGACTTAACAGACTCCATATTCCAGTTGTCTTGCAGGCAGTCTCCCTCAGTCCTTCCCATGTTCTGTGACAAAAATGGCTAACTCCACAATGGAAAGGGCTAGTTTTAATTCTTAAAAAAGCTGGGACTTCAGAGGTGGGGCCTATTTCTGGAAGATCTTTCTCCCATGTTCTCCTCTCCCGTCATCCACACAGCTACAAGAGTGCCCAAAGTTCCCCTCTGTTGGTTGCATTTAATAAAATGGGGTCTGACTGATATTTAGTGCCTATAGGCATCCTATGTGCTCAAGGGAATTTATTTGAAAGGCATACATACACAAAGACGACCACAGTAGTTTTCCCACTTCCTGAATGGCAAGAAATCCCAGAGGAATCACTACTGAAGTTTGGCTTCCTTTGGATGAGAATATTTGATATAGTTTATCTGTAATATTTGCTTTATTTACAGATATGCAGGCAGGCAAAGCAGCGTATCATGCAGGTGAACACTCCCACGTCACGGCACACCTGGGTGGTTTTTGTTGTTGTTCAGTCGCACTGTCGAGTCAGACTCTTCGCGACCCCATGGACCACATCACGCCAGGCCCTCCTGTCATCCACCGCTCTCTAGAGCCTGTCCAATTAAGTACCATTAAGTCAGGGAAAAGCTTGCTTGAACAATACAGCCTTGCACAGCCTCTTAAACTGGATGAGAAGGCCTTGCTTCAACTGGCAGTTGCTTCTTGTGGCACTGAGGTCAACAACATACCGTTAAACCTCTAAAGTCACACTAACTTTAGGCTGTCGAGGATTACAGTTGTGTCATTGGAAAAACCCTTGTATGGACGAAAACCTGTGTGGAAGGGAATAGCTAAGAGGTTCCCCTCTGCAAATAATGACTAAAGCATGGCCCTGAGTACGCTGTGGCCACTCTTGGCTTAACGCATTACTTTTTATGGCCTTACTTAAGCCCAGTCTCAGAAGAATAATGAGTTACATCATTTACTATCTTTCAGAGTCTGTGTGCTGGAATTTCCAGCAGGTGGCAGATGACTGCAATGGTGACAAACTACGTTTTGCAACACCAAGCATTTGAAGAGCTCTTCCAAGTCAAGGACATCCAAACACTTCAGAGATAATGACTGTCAGAAGCAAGGAGTCCTTTCTAGCTCTACATGCTGGACTTTTAAATGCTGTCATATACTAGACTGTTTCTACAGGAAGAAACATACTCAAGCACGGTGAAAGACAGCAGTTTCAAATGCTCTCTCTGTATGCAACCATGCTTTCAGCAACAAGACCAGAGCATAAGTAGGCACCATACATACTGCATGCAGGTACCCGGGTAAACTGGCATTTCCTCCTCCTGCATAAGCATATTCTAAACTAGGATCACACTGCAGTTTAGAAACCTGCTTGGTGGGAGGATGAAGGGGAAACAAAATACTGTTTGGCCAAATGGCCACATTGAAGATTTCAGGGATTGGGGAGGGGGAGGGATGAGCATGCGTATACCACTAATAAATAAGTACATCTTATTCTCGTAGCACCTATGGTTAAATCAGATTTATCCTCACTTCTGAATACAACCACCATACACATAAACAATGATAGTCGGAAAAATAAAATCAGTTTGAAACACAAACCGTATACTTATACAAAACAAAAAGCAATTCACAATTCAAAACCTAAACACCTACTGGTTTCAGAGATGAAAGCAAGCTCGGAAGTAAAGGTATTCTTGAACTCACAGGAGAGACATAAAGAGCACTGTATTTCTAGTTAAAATCAGTCTTAGTTATATACTTCCAGCCCTTAATGACACTGCATTTCCATCTCTGCAAGACCAGACTTGACTGCTGTAAATTTGCCAGTAAGTAAAAAAAAAATCCACAGGAAATGGAGACTAGGAAACTCAGACTTTAAATGCATGCTCAACTCCATCCCAATAAATACTCTGCTCAATGAAACAAGTACTAAGCTGCAATTCCATTCAGGCAGTAATTTTATTTATTGGAAGTGGCCACTTAAAAATCAAGGCAGATTTTCAGAATCCACTGCCTTCATTTCCGAATGTTAGGACAGAATTCCCGTCTATAGAGGCTCTTTTCCCACCAGTAACAGGAGACGGCTATTTGCATCTTAAAAGTCCAGCTTGAACACCCTGTGGAAAAAGCAAATTGGGGAAGTTAGAGATGAGCACAGCAATACTCTTCCATGAAAGAACATATGCATTCCCAAACCAATGTATCATGGACAGGAGAAGATCCCCCCCCCTTTTCCCTCCCATCAGCATGGACCAATCAGATCCAAACAGGTTAAATGGAGTACTGGAGTGAAAAGGTGGGGGGAACCTGAGGGGAGATTAATGGTCAACAACCAACAGACAAACAGAATTGTTGGGATTTGGAGGGAGAAATAATAGGTGGTATCCTGACTAGGCAGGGTGATCACAAGGGACTGTAGTATATGATTTCAGACAGGCAGGGTTTAAATGCTGTTCCATAACAAACTTAAGGGATCTTGTGAGTGTAAGATAAGACACACTAATAAATTAATTTATTTAAAACATTTAACTGCATTTCTACCTAAACATACTAAAAACGGCTTACAATATAAACAGTTATAAAACACATAAAAGGTGACAGGGTTTTTCCACTTTACCTCACGCACCTAAGTTGACAGTGGGCCCAGTACAGTAGCACAGGTCACCTCTCCAGCCTGAGTGACTTTGTACTGGCCAAGTGGTATAAAATAACAAGAAAAAGGCCTGCCTCAGGGGTTGTAACGCCATGTGGTGAGGAGATGCCTGAGGGAACAGTCTCCTGCCCCTCAGACTGTGTTTTCAGTTTCAGGTGCATTCCTTTCAAAATGTGTGACCCCGCAAAATTCAGAAAGAGCCATGGGACGGCCCAAACCCATCCTGAGGCACTCCTGAGTGAAGAAAGGCCATCTTTAATATGCGATGACACAAAAACCCACTGCCCAAGACTTGTGACAGTGAGAGGAACGGTCATCGGGGAATTTTATGTTCAACACAAAAAAACAAAAAAACAAAACCTCAAGATTCCAGAGTTTTACTTCCCCCCCCCCTTCTTTCTTTTTTTGCAGACCAGGGCTCCCAATGCAGTGCCTACTTGCTCCTTGAGCCCTGGGGGAAACCCAAAGGGCCTTGAATGAAACATAAGATTTTTTTTAAAAAAACCAGGAACCTTCAGGTTGCACCTTTTCAGCCGACTGGTGAGAAGAGCACCAACTTTTGTCCCAGCCAGGTGCCCTTCACTTATCCACTAACAGAAACTGCGACTCTGGGCTTGGCATCCTTCTTCTCCCTGTGGCTGGACCAGGAACAAACCCTCCCCATTCCAAAAACAAAGGACTGTTCCTGCCTCACTGGTAGAGATTCTGGGATGGCTCCACTTCAAGGGCAGGCACTGTGATTTGCCCTTCCATCTACGGTCATCATTTTGTAGTGATTCCATCTCAATACATTTTCTCAAACCCCAAAAGGGCTCGGAAAAACAAAACCTCAAGCTTCCATAGTTTTACTTTCTCCCCCCCCCACCCTTTCTTTTTTTGCAGACCAGGGCTCCCAATGCAGTGCCTACTTGCTCCTTGAGCCCTGGGGGAAACCCAAAGGGCCTTGAATGAAACATAAGATTTAAAAAAAAAAAACAGGAACCTTCAGGTTGCACCTTTTCAGCCGACTGGTGAGAAGAGCACCAACTTTTGTCCCAGCCAGGTGCCCTTCACTTATCCACTAACAGAAACTGCGACTCTGGGCTTGGCATCCTTCTTCTCCCTGTGGCTGGACCAGGAACAAACCCTCCCCATTCCAAAAACAAAGGACTGTTCCTGCCTCACTGGTAGAGATTCTGGGATGGCTCCACTTCAATGGCAGGCACTGTGATTTTGCCCTTCCATCTACGGTCATCCTTTTGTGGCGATTCCATCTCAATACATTTTCTCAAGCCCCAAAAGGGCTCAGCCTCAGCAAGATCGGAAGCCCTTGCTTTACAAGGCAATACAACAGCAACATTTAGAATCACCCAATCTTTAGCTATGATTCCAGTTATTATTATTATTTTATTATTATGTCTGCTGTCCTTCAGTGCTAGTTCATGATCTCTGCTGTCCTTCAGGGCTAGAGACTCACCAAGCAAACTAAATTCATATCCACTTCTCTGAACAGCCCCTCACAGTCTTACCTACCTCCGTTCCAAAGGAATGACTGTTCTAGTTGAGAAGTCACTAGGGGAGGAGAGATCAGGTTCCATTTCTTACGCGGCTTTCTCATTTTTCCAGAATCGCCACACCTACAAAAACCAAGAACAGCATCTGTTAGCAATTAATCCTCAAATGATTTTTAGTTACTGACTACATATGCATAACAGTTTTTTTTTTGGGGGGGGGGGGCCCTTTTTCTTTGTGACAGAGTGAGGATGCCTTTGATTCACTGGTGCTGCAGAAGTCCACTTGCTATTCCTGAAGCATATTAAGGCTGCAGCAGAGTAGCCAGGCCCAATCCTTGCTCAAGGCTGTCTACCTTTTTGAAGTTCAGCTTGCCATGCCACGGTGAACTGCCGCCTGGCAAGCCATCCCATGCCAGGAACCGTCCAGAAATTCATGCTTTGTGCTTCTCAAGAAGAGGGAGAGAAACAAACAGGCACACCAAGGATCACAGTCAGCCTGCTCTCCCTCTTCAGCTCGGAGAAGCTGCTCTTGGCTGATTTATTTCCAAAATTAATTGCCTTCCAAATGGCCCCCAGCTCTGCTTCGGGGCAAGGAGCCATGAAGGTCACTACACCATGTCATGGCTTATACTCCAAGAGAGAAATTACTATGCAGTTCTCAAAGCAGAAAAGGCAAGAACATCTCATATATATGCAGACATCTCCATCTGCTAAATTTTAAACCGGGGGGCCTGTGTGGACTTCTCATGTATGTGTGCACCATGCTTGTGCCAAATAGTACAGCTTTACTATACTGATAAGTTATCTGCCTGAAAGCGGAGCGGCTCGTTCAGCTAAATCACATGGTGGAATCCTCCCAGGGCTCTTACTTGCTCATCTTAAAACTTCTCCTTTGTAGCAAATTAACAGACAAGGGAGAAATAATCTATTGACTCTGGGGGGGAAACACAGTAAAGAAAATTTGGTCCTTGCATCCGCCAACACCTTTTTAGTAAGGCCTGTGTAACATTTCGGGGCAAGGAGTTATGAAGGTCACTACAGCATATCAAAGGAACTAATTACTATGCAGTTCTCAATGCAAGAACATCTCTCACATATATATATGTGCAGACATCTCCATCTGCTAAATTTTAAATCTGTGGATGCATCCACCGTGCCTAGGAATCTGCTCAGTGCATTCGCATAATCAGGGTGAATCAGGTGAAACACGGACAGAATGTGCAGCTCATCATGGCAGACTCCCCAAAATATTCTTCACTCCCAGCTAACCCCCCCCAAAGGGGATGGGAGGGTGTAACCAAGCCAACTAAGCTATGGTGCAGGAACTCACCTGTTCAAGAGAAGAAGAGATCATACCCTTTCTTCCCACTAACCACCAAGGGCACTGACGTCCCTCTACCAGCTCTGAAATCCTTGGCTTTTTGTGGATCTGTTCAGCTCATCTTGGGATGCAGTCGGTCACTTCAGAATTCTATGGAATCGAGATCCGTCGTTCATTTCCCTTCAGACTCACAACCTGGGAATGAAATATCCACCATTACCACCTTTGATCCATTATAAAGGCAGGCAGACTGAGCGAACAGATCACAGTAGGGTCTTACTGATGCTTCTTACTGATGAGTTTAATAGCTACAAGTGGGCAGCCTTGTTGGTCGGAAGCAGCAGAACAAAGTTTGAGGCCAGTAGCACATTTAAGCAATGCTCCCTCTAAGCTGCGGAGTCTGGTGAACAAAAATTCTACTTTGTAAGCTACTGGTATTAAAGTCGTGAGCAAGCAATGTGGCAACTGCATAAATTAAGTTTGCTATTCATTTCCCTTCAAAGTCACAACCTGTGAATGAAATATCCACCATTACCACCTTTGCTCCATTATAAAGGCAGACAGAGCCAACAGATCAGAGTAGGGTCTTACTGATGAGTTTAATAGATCCAAGCGGGCAGCCTTGTTGGTCGGAAGCAGCAGGACAAAGTTTGAGGCCAGTAGCACATTTAAGCAATGCTCCCTCTAAGCTGCGGAGTCTGGTGAACAAAAATTCTACTTTGTAAGCTACTGGTATTAAAGTCGTGAGCAAGCAATGTGGCAACTGCATAAATTAAGTTTGCTCTGGAGCCCTCCTTCCTGAGCTGAGACAAAAATGTGTGCGCCGGAAGCTAAAAACCTGCGAGCTATCTTACACTAACTCAGCTTAGAGGGAACACTGCATTTAAGACCAACGAAGTTTTACTTTAGGTATAAGCTTTCATGTGTGGACACAGTTCTTCAAGAAGTGTGTGTGCACACATAGAATCATAGAACGTTAGAGCTGGAAGGGGCCTTGCAGGTCATCTAGTCCAACCCCCTGGACTCTGCAGGAGCATAGTCAAAAGATAGCCCTGCAACATACCTGAAAGATGGTCGTCCAGCCTCCGCTTGAAAACATCCGGCAAAGAAGCATCCACCACCTCCCAAGGGAGACTTTTCCACCGCTCAACCACTCTTACAGTTAGGAAGCTTCTCCTAATATTTAGCCGGTAACAACTCCCTTGTAATTTCCACCCATTGAATCTATTCTATGAAGGCTTATACCCAGAATAAAGCTTTGGTGGTGTTAGAAGGTGCCATTGCTCAAACTTCATTCTTCTAACCAGAGAGTAGAAGAAGAAGAAAAGAGATTGGATTTATACCCCACCCTTCACTACCCAAAGGTGTCTCAGAGTGGCTTACAAACTCCTTTCCCTTCCCCTCCCCACAACAGACACCCTGTGAGGTGGGTGGGGCTGAGAGAGCTCTTGACAGAAACTGCTTTTTCAAGAAAAAGCTCTTATCAGAACTACGGCTTGCCCAAGGCCATCCAGCCAGGTGCAAGTGGAGGAGTGGGGAATCAAACCTGGTTCTCCCAGATTAGAGTCCGCGCACTTAACCACGACACCAAACTGGCTCTAGTACATCTAGTTTCATGCAAGTTTAAGAACACAATGCATTTTGAAGCAAATTAATAGGGCCATCTTGATGAGCTCCTTATATTACTGCCACATCAGCGTGTTGGACTTTTTATTCACAGAAAATCTTCCGCACCCCAGATCAGAGTTCTCTGGGGCAGGCCACACACAGAAGTTGTAACCATTATTACCTTTGTAGAAACGAGACTGTAGAACCTCCTCTTCATTAAGCCTTAGATAAACACAAGGGGAACATTCAACCTTTACACTAGGCCAGTGCTTTCCATCAACTACAGCAATGCTTTGATAGAGAGACCTCAAATAGCACCCCTCCATTTTTCCAACCTGGAGAATGAGAGAGAAACGGAACAGGTTACCAAAAATGCATAAGACACCCTCCAGCAGTAGAATCAAGACTTGAATGAAGCACAGTACAAAGATTACGAAATATTATTGTGCTACAACCACACTTTAAGGAGTTTTCCCACCTATGAAGCCCAAAGAGCCCTTCAGGTTCTCAGATATTTACTGAGAGTACAAGGGTTTCTAATATTGCACACACACTGAGAAATCAGACAAAAACATCCTACTTAAATCTCATGGATTCAGCCTTAAACCAAAGCGGCAGTACATAACCTTCTTTCCCCCACTTTGATTAGCAGACTGCTCTTTTCTGTCTCTTCCATCTCCCTCCCCAGGAGGAAGGCTAACCGGGCATCACTGTGTTAAAAGTTCCCACTCTGCTGTTATGCTGCTTTGTTCTTTTTAATAAATTTTTTTTTTAAAGTTCCCAACAACCCCTCTTGGGCTCCACCAGGCCCACACACCGCTACAAAATAAAATGGCCACAAAGACTCTCACCCTCCCGGTACGTGTAGGTAGGTAGGTAGGTAGGTAGGTAGGTAGGTAGGTAGGAAGGAAGGAAGGAAGGAAGGAAAATTTTATTTTGTAGCGGTGTGTGGGCCACGTGGGGCTCGCATAAAGAGGCGAAACACGTGTGGCGAGTACGCCAATATTGTACTTCAATCACGGCAGATGCAACAAGCAAAACACGTGCAGGGACCTGATAAGCAAACTGGCCTTAAAAACGGGCTGTCTGGAACGACGACCCCCACGTGAAATCACGCAAACCGAGTCAAGGGGGGTCCGCAACACCCCGAGACCAAAAATCCCAAAAAAATTCCAGCAGAGAACAATCCCTACTTCGATTTCAAATCACCCCAGAAGAGGAAGAGAGCCGGATGCCTAAACTAACCTGAGATTAGGAGTGGATTCTTTGGCGGGCCCGGAGGAAACGACTCACAGCCCTCCACCAGCAGCCGGCACGAGACAAAGAGGAAAAGGATGGGCGGAGCAGAGTACTCCAATACGCCAATATTGTACTTCAATCACGGCAGATGCAACAAGCAAAACACGTGCAGGGACCTTGTAAGCAAACTGGCCTTAAAACGGGCTGTCTGGAACGGCGACCCCACGTGAAATCACGCAAACTGAGCCAAGGGGGGTCCGCAACACCCCCGAGACCAAAAATCCCAAAAAAATTCCAGTAGAGAACAATCCCTACTTCGATTTCAAATCATCCCAGAAGAAGAAGAGAGACGGATGCCTAAACTAACCTGAGATTAGGAGTGGATTCTTTGGCGGGCCCGGAGGAAACGACACACACAACCCCACCAGCAGCCGGCACGAGACAAAGAGGAAAAGGATGGGCGGAGCAGGAAATACTGCCCGTCTGTCTTGCTATTAGCAGATAAGGCAAGTCAATCATTTTTTTTGTCACGTGAGCTTGCGGAGGGCGGGGTAGATGGTGCATCCGGGCTTGTACCGTGAGCTCAAAATGGGCTGCAGCTTGTTCAAATGCGTTGCGCTTTTCTGCCCATCTATCTCATCAGTGTCCCCTCTAAGCTGAGTTACTGTGAGCCAGCTCACAGTTTTTTAGCCTCTGGCTCACACATTTTTGTCTCCGCTCAGGAAGGGAGGGCTCCAGAGCAAACCAATGTATGCAGCAACCAAATCGCTCCCTGACAACTTTAACGCCAGTAGCTCACAAAGTAGAGTTTTTGCTCACAAGACTCCACAGCTTAGAGGGATGATTGATCTCAATCCTTAACTAGTGTGTGATGGAGAAGAATTTGTGTCTTCTCCTGGGACGAAGTATCGGTCATACATATCGTGCCTGGCTGGAAGTGTAGACAGTTATCAGTGCCAATTCTTAATCCACCGGCCACCACCCCCTCCCGACACACACAAATAAGAATACCAGCTTCCAGGGGGTGACTGGAGATCTGGAATTACAACTGATCTCCAGGTAGGGTTGCCAGCAATGTTCCCTCTAAGCTGTGGAGTCTTGTGAGCAAAAATTCTACTTTGTGAGCTACTGTTTCTGTGTGGAATTCTCATGTACGTGTGCACCATGCATGTGCCAAATAGTGCAGCTTTACTATACTGATCGATAAGGGCTCTTACTTGCTCATCTTAAAACTTCTCCTTTGTAGCAAATTAACAGACAAGGGAGAAATGATCTATTGGGCAGGGGAAGGGGTGGGAGGGTTCCCAGATCCAGACAGAGAAACCACTAGAGATTTGGGGATGGAGCTTGGGAGGAACAGGGACCTCAGTGGTGTACAATGCCACAAAGCCCACCCTCCAAAATATCCATTTTTTCCTAGGGAAACCGATCTCTGCAGTCTAGAGGTCAGCTGTAATTCCAGGGGATCCCCAGGCCCCACCTGGAGGCTGGCATCCCTTGGGTGACAGAGATTTGTTGATCTGGAGAAAATGGCTGCTTTGGAAGGTGGACTCTGGCGTTATCCCTCCCCACCCATTCCAGACTCCGCCCCTCAAACCCCCAGGAATTTCCTAACCTGGAGCTGGCAACCTGACTTGCAGTCTCAAGATGAAGAACAAAGTTCGAGTCCAGCAGCACCTGGAAATAATCTACCACGTACCTAGAGTTGCCAGTCTCCAGGTAATGGTTGAAGATCTCCTGGGATTACAACTCATCTTCAAAAGGCAGAGATCAGTTCACCGGGTATTATAACCCATTGAAGTCCCTCTCCAAACCCCACCCTCCTCAGGCTCCACCCCCAAAACCTCCAGGTATTTCCCACCCCAGAGCTGGAAACTCAACACCTACCCTTCTCTGTGTTATTTGACAGGAAATGGGACATGTTGGCCAGCAGGGGTCATTCTGTAGAAAAAGAGGTGCAGGAGCTCATTAGCATAACTTATTTGCATATGCCACACCCCCTGACATCACCAGAAGTGTGTCAGAAGGCAACACCCACCGCTCAGGCACCACTGGACTCTTTTGGATTGCTAGCTATTTGGGGGGGGGAACGTGCAGATCTGTCCTCGCAGAGGAGGGAGAGCTTGTACCTGAATAAAACTTGGTCTTAAAGGTGCCACTGGACTGTTTTGGGCCAGGGAGCTGTGGGGGGGGG